CCCTCAGCAGTGTACTTCATCGATCTGCCTGTTCTGCTCCCCACTCTGTCTCTGGTGAAGCCTCTCGCCCCTGAGCCTCTGGCCTGTACCCTAGTTCTGAGTGCACAAATAAATAAATCTTTAAAAAAATATATCTGAACATTAGAAATGTATTTTAGCACAATTAAAGAATTTCTTCCAAGTTCACCTCCGTAACAGACCATATCATAAACTTTCCACATTTATTACAGATCCCAGAATGAACTTAAAAAAAAAAAACACACACACACACAACAAACCTGTTTGAACAACAGCCTATGCAATGGCTATAAGAGACTTAGTCATTCCTGTATCTTTAAATAGCCAAGGTCCTCCTCAATCTGAGGGCCTTCAACTACTTCTCTCTAAGAATGATCTGTTCTAACTGCTCTCATTTTCCCACGCTCCCTGGATGCATTCCTGAGCTAGAGAATATTGACGCAGACTGTGGATACTTCCAGGATCACAAAAATGTCACTGTCAAACTGCACATCTGTTCCACCAGAAGTAGGACCCTATTCCTAGTATGAAACTCAGGACACCACAGAGACAATTTCTGATCTCTCTGCATACAAGACTGTTGTAAATGTCTCGCAAAGTATGAAATCTCACCATATACCAAGGCTATGGGCAACCAACAACAAATTTCATCTTCGATGCTTGGAAAACGCAAGTCTGGAAAAGTTCAGTTTCCGCATGGCTGTACACATGAACCTCTCTCAACAAATCACAAAAAATGGTCCAACATGTCTCTTGAAAGATTTCATTTCTGCTCCCTTAGCAGAAGACTGGGCACACAGATGAAATGCTGAGTGATTTACTCAATTAATAGATAACAACTGAAAACAAGTCTCACTTACTCATTCTCACTGGATATGGAAGAACTGGGAGAAGGTTCTTGGATGTGGCTTTTACAGGCAGGAAGTTTTGGGATAAATGTTTACAAAACATTAAGAGGATAATAGTTTCCCAAGAAAAAGAGACAGTAACTTACATGGGCCATCATTTAGAAATTCAAGAACTGGTCAGTCTTCTTCGGGGTTCACTTGCAGGGAGAAGCAGAGTTCACATAGGCCAGAGCTACAGAGAGGAGAAGGCTATGAGTCAGACAAACCTCA